AAATGCGTTGTGCGACGACAAAACACCAATGCATCAGGTGTTTGGACTTATAGCTAGTACCCATACTGGCAGTATGGTGGATCATTCAGCATTTGCACACTTTATACAGTACTGCGAACATATGTATTCCAAATTCATTCTGCACAGGGTGTCAGAATATGAAAGTAGTAGTATTTTCTTCGTACATCATCACATTTGTAACAGAAAAAAGCTGCCCTCCCTAGACTACGTTAGGCACTTTTACCACCAAAAGCGCCGCCATCATTGACAGGTGACATTTTCAAGTTCACAAACCTACTGACATAAGTGCGTATCAGGATAGTAATGTACGAGATATGTTTATGGGTTTGCAGGAAGGCACTAAGAAAAGTAGATGAGAATCTCAAAAAGTGACCACTGGAGGCTAGCCAGACCAGGAGTGTTTAATGTAGTCCGAATAATAAAAAGAAGGGACAAGTGGAAATTTTCCGACTCCGATGACTTTCTTCGACCTATGGTGACTCAAATACCGCCCCTTCTGCAATTGGTTTTCAAAAAGTACACATCGGTTTCATCGTGCTCTCTTCATGCCCTGTCAGATCCAAACACATCTGAATGTCACTGCTGATAACGTGCAACCCGGATGTGACTCTAATGTAACAGTCAGTCCAAGTATGAGAAAGTGATAAAATTATTGGATGATTTGAGCACAGTCGAATCGCTAATGAAAGCCACACGACAGCATTTCTGAACCTGACCCTACTCTAAATGGTGAGTATAGAATGAGACCAGAAGTCCATTTTCAGAGTGAACACTTGTGCGCAGATGCCATCAGCTATCCGAGAGGTTAGGAACTGTGTCATAATATACTCAAAATAATTCATTTCGCTTTGTCCTAAATAGAAATTCACGCATACAAGCAAAGCAATATATGGGACGGTCGAATTAAAAAATGCCTGTTTGTAGAAAACCGAAGCTCTAAATTTTCTATCCATATTCAAAATACTCCTGTCTGTCTGATTCGTTAGCCAAACTTATTTTTCGTCGGAAAGAACAGATTGCAAC